GGTGCTGAGAACCAAACCCAAGTACTCTGTAAGAGCAGCCAGTGCTGTTAGCCACGTGGCATCTCTCCAGCCTTCCCCTCCACCCCTGTTTTCCTTTATTATTCAGCCTGAAACCCCAGCCCATAGGAGTTTATTCAGAATAGGTTTCCCTCCTCACTTAAATGACACTGGGAAACACCTTCACAGATGCACCCAGAGGTGAGTTTCCTGGGTGATTCTAAATCCAATCAAGTTGGCAAGGAAGATTATCTCAGGGTAGTTCAGTGGTAGTGCTTGTTTAGCAGGTGCAAGGCCCTGTGTTTGGGCCTCATCACTGGGGGAAGTGAGGTGGGGGTGGGGGGCAAATGGAGGGGAGGAGGAGAGAAAAATTGAGTTGTGATACTTAGATATTTGATTTGATACTTTTAGTCATATAAAAGTCACCAGATTACACAGGTAATTGTAATAAATAAATAAATGCTTTGAATTTTTGTTGTTAAATCCTACCATTGATGCTTTCTATAATTTGGTAGTCTCTAAACCTTGGGGTTGTTTCTTGAGACAGAGTCTCAGAGCTGTTCTGGAATTCACTGCTAGACAACACAATGACCTTGAATTCCTGATTCCCCTTTTTTTACTTCCCAAGTGATGGAATTATAAACTAGGTTATTATGCCTAATTTGTAAAGTAGTAACGAGTGAACCCAGTCTTGTACATGCTAGGCAAGTATTCTACCAAAAGCTATTATCTCCAATCATAAGCCTTGGTTATTAATAGATAATTGTTATCAAAATTCCTGGAGGCTGTTTTTTTGTTTGGTTTTACAGTGCTTGGAGTTCAAACCCAAGGCCTTACATATGTTAAGCAAATATTCCACCTGTGAACCACATTGCTGGCCCAGGTGTTTTTGGTCCTTTCTTCGGGAGAATCATTTCCAGCACTCAGGATACAGAGGCAGGGAGATCTTTCTTTGAGTTTGAGGCCAGCCTGGTCTACAAACATATTCAAATTCTGGGCTAACCAGAGCATGTAGTGAGACCATGTCAAAAAACAAAACAAAAGAAAACAAAAAAAAAGGCGGGGTAGGGGGGGGAGAAGGAGAAAGAAAGAAGCCAGCTTAGAATGTATATGTGTTGATAGTTTTGGGTGTTTTTATTTTACTAACTACCATTAGACATAGAGACCATACAATGCAGATTTAAATATTCAGACAATTGTCTTATCTGCTTCTTTTTAGAAAATAATGCTCACTTTAGCTATGGAAATTAATTGAATAAAGATAGTTTTAACAAATATGAACTACTAGCTTAGAAGTAGTAAATCTAGATTTCTTCACTTCCTAGAGTTATTTAGTTTCCTTCTTTTCTTTCGCACTAGGGTCTGGCCTCAGATTTGCAGCTTTCCTGCTTCAGTCGCCCAATTACTAAGATTATAGGCATTCTCTACTATTCCTAGCTTGGTTTTCTTACAATGAACTTATAATTCATATATGATAAATAGCAATCTTGGTGTGTTTTCTGCAGGTATGTTTGCAATTCGTGCTGATCATGATTTTGTAGTTCAGGAAGACTTCATGAAAGCAGTCAGAAAAGTTGCTGATTCTAAGAAGCTAGAGTCTAAATTGGACTACAAACCTGTGTAATTTACTATCAAGTTTTGATGACTGCATGACAGACTGGTTTAATGTAAAAATAAAGGAAAATAAAGTATGTATTGGCAATGATCTCATTAAAGTGAATAAACATGAGTAGCATAATAATATGTAATTTAGTAATTCAACCTTTATAATTGGTACAGAAGAAATTTGTGTTTGATGTTGCATTTACTGCAGCAGAATTTACAAAAGGCATGTTGAAGCTTTTCATATTTGCTTTGTGAGCATTTTGTAAAACTTTTAAAATGGTTTGAGATAGTAGTCCAGGAGAGCATTTCTTATGACTTATTTTATATCATTTTTTTTTCCTCATCCTAAAACATGAAATAAACTCTGTTTTAGTTGTCTTATGTGTATTCTGTTCTTTTCTAAGAGCACATTTATTATAGCCCTTTTCGTTCTATAGTGAGTAAACTATTTGGGAGCCCTGGAGAAGTTGAAAATTAAGACAGTAGGGTTTGAATTTTATTTTTAAAAAAGATTCACAAAGTTCATAAAACATACATTTTAAGCCATGTGTGGTGACAACCTTTAATACCAGCTCTCAAGAGGTAGAGGCCAGCAGGTCTCTTTGAAATTGAGGCCATCCTGGTCTACATAGCAAGTTCTAGGCCAGTCAGGGCTACACAAGTGAGACCCTGTCTCAAAAAACCAACAAAAGAAAACAACATCTTTGTGTGTATGTGCCTGTCTGTCTATTTATCTTCCAGAAAGTACTTAACTCTCATCTACTGTAGTTAGACTATTTGATAGTTAATTGAAAAAGTACATGTACATTCATAATTTTATTTAAAGATTATGATTAAAAGTAATGGGTATAGTTAATTAATATGACTTGGTTTATGTGAAATAATAGTTCCCTTTTGAGGATGTAGTGGTCTGGATTATCCCAGAAAGATTCTTTATCACACAGGCACATACTTTTTTAATATATATAACGTCCAAAGATTTATTATTTCTCAAGTTTATCCAAGGACTAAATATCTGTGGATGGATACCAGATTGTAGGGAATAGGTATGGCAGAAATGTTCAAAAGTTCTATAACTGCACAATTCTTTGTAATTTCATGTGGCAATCAGCAGTGCCTATCAGTTAAGATTATTTCATGCTTAGAGGTATTTTTTAAAAATGACATTGGGGGTTGGAGAGATGGCTCAGTGGTTAAGAACACTGGTTATTCTTTCAGAAGACCCGGTTTCTAATCCCAGCACCCACATGACAGCTAACAACTGTCCCTAACTCCAGTTCCAGGGGATCCATGGCCTCTTCTGTTCTCTGTGGGTATTGCAGAACATGGGTGCACTTACTACATGCAGGCAATACACTCATACACATATAAAATTAAAATAAGGGGCTGGAGAGATGGCTCAGTGGTTAAGAACACTGGTTATTCTTTCAGAAGACCCGGTTTCTAATCCCAGCACCCACATGACAGCTAACAACTGTCCCTAACTCCAGTTCCAGGGGATCCATGGCCTCTTCTGTTCTCTGTGGGTATTGCAGAACATGGGTGCACTTACTACATGCAGGCAATACACTCATACACATATAAAATTAAAATAAGGGGCTGGAGAGATGGCTCAGTGGTTAAGAGCACCAACTGCTCTTATGGAGAACCCAGGTTCGATTCCCAGCACTCATGGCAGCCACGAATGGTCCTTAACTCCAGTTTCAAGGGAATCTGAAGCCCTCTTCTGACCTCCATGGCATTGCATGACACAGGTGCACTCAAAGACATGCAAGCAATACACTCATGCACAAAATAAGTATTTTTTTAAAAAATAATATTTTTTAAAAAAGACATTGAACTTCATAAATACAAAGAACCAACCATAAATGACCTGTTAAGTATTCTTGAAATTAAAAACGGTATTCTGTGCCTTTCTAATTTTCAAAGCTGGATGATAGTTTGTGTAGTTCTAGAGAACATGGAATACTCAAGTGACCGTCTAATTATTAAACAGTTCCATTTCCGTGTGTTCGCCATGCAGTGCACACAGAAGACAAGACAAAAGGACTGAGAGGTCTGAGTGAAGCATATATGTGATCCTTTCACTTGAATCTGAATTTAGTTACTCTTAACTTTTGTGCTACTGGTGGTAAACCAGGCATGGTAGCCATACCTTTAATCACAGCCAAGGCAGGTGGATCTTTGAGATCAAGGCCAGCCAGCCTGGTCTACATAGCAGTTTACAGGCCAGCTGGGGCTACAAGGAAGCCCTGTCTGAAGAAGAGCAAAAACAAAAAACAAAACAAAAGTTAGTTTGATGTAGAAATCTTCAAATATTTGCTCTTTCACTTGTTTTTTTCTTTCTCTGCTTGTTGTGTTTCTTCATCTGTTTAAAAATAGAGAGAGGTGTCACTGGGCATATAGTCTCAGCACTTAGGAAATGGAGGCAGAAGGATCTGGGTCATCTTCCACACAAGGAATTTAAGGCCAGCCTGGGCTACATGAAATAAAAAACAACCAGGAAAAAAAAAAAAACAAAAAAAAACCCATCGGGCATGGTGGCGCACACCTTTAATCCCAGCACGTGGGAGGCAGAGGCAGGCGGATTTCTGTGAGTTCCAGGACAGCCTGGTCTACATAGTGAGTTCCAGGACAGCTGAGGCTACAGGAAGACCCTATCTCAAAAAGACCAACAACAACAAAAAAAAAACCAGAAAAGGATAAGGATAATAGAATTCTTGGCCCAGAGAAGGAATAAATAAATAAATAAGTAAATAAATAATAAATAAATAAATAAATGTATATATATTAACACTACCTCAAAAAATTACAGCAAGTCATGCAGTTTTTCAATATGTTGAAATACTGAAACGGAGAAACCTTAGGGTATTGTGTACAATTTACTGAGCTACCATTCCCATTTCTCGTGACTTTCTACTATTTTCTTGAAAACTTCTGGATAATCTGAGTTGTTACGTTCTTTAAAAGGCCATTTAAACTGTTTAAAGGTGATGGGTGTCTTTTTTTTTTTTTTGGTAGTATAACATGAAATTAAACTAACTCTTCCAGTTTATTACTTCCTCACAGATTAGGTAGGATTCTCTGAGGGGATAAAACGAATTTTCCTTTAAATGCAGGTGTCCACAGAGTGGAGTCTGCAGCCTGTGTCTCTGAAGAAGGGATCTGCATCCTCTCTGGGAAGGCCTAGCTGTGGCTGACACCCCAACGCCTTTTCCGGGAGCGAGCCGAGCTCCGCCCGAGGCCCCGCCCCTCCCCGAAGCCCCTCTCCTGAAGCCCCGCCCCCGCGTCTGCGCTCTAGTGCAGGGGCAAGGCCCAGGCGCGCTGACACCTGGCGGCGGCGGGGGCGGGCGGCCGGCGAGCGTGGGCTGGGATTGGCTGGGGCGCGTCGGTAGGGGAGGAGACGGTTGTGGGGATCGTGCCTGGGCCGGATCCCGGCTGCTGGAGGGGCGCGGAGACCTGCGAAGGGGGACTGCCGCAGCATGGCGGCCGGGAGCGCGGCGCCCTGCCCTCCTGCCCGCCGCCGTCGGGACTCCGGGGTTCGCGTGTGCCGGCTGTGAGCCCTCCCTGCCGCCGTCCGCGCGCCGTCCGCCGGCCTCCTCCCCTAGTCGCCTCTGCCAGTCCGGGGTCGGCCGTGTGGGCCGCTCCCCTCGCACCGCGCCCACCCGCCGGGGCCCTGGACCATGGAGGACGTGAAGCTGGAGTTCCCCTCGCTCCCACCGTGCAAAGACGACGCCGAGGTGAGAGCCAGGCCGGCCACAGGACACCCTTGGCTCCGGCCGAGGCGCGACCCCCTGCCCAACCGCCGCGATCCCCGGCTTGGGCACAGCCAGAGCAGGCCGGGGTGCTCTGGGCGGACTTCGGCCGTTTCCGAGGCGAGGACTCTCCCACACTGAGGTCCTCCTCTCCAGAGATCCTGGCGGTGGAGCCAGGAATCGTGTACTTCTCTGGTGGACCAGGAAAGCACCCTAACCCCTGGCCTGGGCGTCTAGGGTTGACTTGAAGGCCGTCTTTGGTTGCCAAGCAGGCAGTGCGCAGGTTGAAGTTATTTTTAATCTGAGTATGAGGATTGTCTTTGGTGTCATCCGACACATGCGGCACACATGGCTCCACATGTGGAATGGACCTGGTACTTGAACTCTGGAAGTTCGCCCACCAATAGTTCCGCAGAGTTTTTTGTTTGTTGGTTTTGGGCAAAAAAAAAAAACTACCACAAAGTCACCAAGCTAGTTCATCTGAATCTGAAAAGTTTTAATCACAAACTTGCCCTAGGAGGAAAGTTACTATTGAGAGCAAAATGCTCTGTACCTTCACCTGATTTTCCTTTTACAGACAGGGTTTTAACTATGTAGCCCTGGCTGGCCTAGAACTCACACATACCCACCTGTCTCTACCTCCTGAGGCTAGGATTAAAGGTGTGCACCACTATGCTCAGCTGATTCCATAATTCAGGGTTCTTAGTACTCTCAACTTGGTGGCTCTTTACCCAACGTTTGTAAAGATTTTTTTTTTCCATTTGTCGAAGATATTTTATGGTATTGGAAACTGTTGAGATAAAATTCGAAGGAGGCTAAGTTAGCAACAAGGTTTCTGAGCTATACCTTAATAGGATCAGGAAAGAAAAGTGCAAAGTTCCTAGAATTTTAAGTGCCTTGAAGGTAATTGGGGCTAAACCTGATGGCCCCACCCTGTAATCCCAGTTCATGGGAGGTAAAGCCTGGAGGATCAGGAGTTCCAGACCAGCCATGATTATATATTAAATTTGACCCTGCATCCCCACCCACCCCCCAAAAAGGAGGGAAAATCAAGCTGCTTTTTTGTAGATTGAGTTTAAACCAAATAGTCATCCCATTGAATGTCTTTGATTTTTTTTTCACCCAGGTAGCCCAGGCCAGCCTCAAATTCCCCAGAGAGACAAGGATGTCCTTGAACTCCTCCACCTGGCCTCTATCTCCCAAGTGATGGAATTACAGGCATTTAGAAAATGCCCTCCCTTGTGGTAGTGATACTTGAGACCTGCATACATTTTTAGTAGAATCATAAATTCAAAACAGAATTTGAGACTGGAGAGATGGCTCATTGGTTAAGAGCACTTCCTGTTCTTCCAGAGAACACAGGTTGGGTTTCCAGCACCTACAAGGCAGCTCATAATTGTCTGTAAATCCCATTCCAGGGAATCCAAATCTCTTGCCTCTGTGGGCACTGTATGCATGTGGTGCACTCCTGTGAAAGAAACACTTATAAGATGAAAAATCTTTTAAAAAAATGAATTTATACTTTTTTTTCTTTAACATACAATAATATGAATGAGGAGTATATTCTTTGTCTTAAAAATAACAACACTCTGTAAGCAACTTCCCTGAACATGTATGGTGGAAGGAGAGAACCAACTTTCTTAAGTTGTCCTCTGACAATATACCTGCTCTCTCTCTCTCCCTCTCTCTCTCTCACTCACTCACTCACTCACTCACATACACACACATCAGACACAAAGAAGTTTCCATTTATTTAGAATAGGTGTCATCAGGCATACCACAGGACATAGGAGGACTTTGGAATCCTGACTCCTAATTCTTTGGTCTTCTTAATAGACTTCAATTTTTTTTTTCCCCACTGTAGTCTTAAAAGTTCTAGTTTAAATTTTTTCTCATCTTTTATTATATTAATAATATATCTAATATTGCAAAAACTATAAATTCTTACCAGAAATTATAGTTTTCATCTAATTAACAACATTAAATTTCTAGTGAGATGTGTAAAGTGTCAAATGCTTATTTAGTTAAGGTAAAAAAGCAGTATTCTTTCTTCTACATAAGAACTATGTTAAAAGCCAAATTTCAGTCCAAATCTCACTTTGGTAAAAGTGAAATTCAAGAAGAGAGATTTTAATGGATCCTTTTAGTGAGTAATGTCATAAATAGCTTAAAGATTCTTTCACCTCTATAAGAATATTGCTTCAGGAAATACTGGTAAGGAACTTTTATTTTTTTGTCTTTTTGAGACAGGGTCTCCCTGTAGCCCCAGCTGTCCTGGAACTTACTATGTAGACCAGGCTGGCCTTGAACTCACAAAGATCCGCCTGCCTCTGCCTCCCGAGTGCTGGGATTAAAGGCGTGCGCCACCATGCCCGGCAGGAACTTTTTATATAGAATAGTGCAGGAAAATATTTAGTGATGTAAGTTTAGTCAGTTTGTAAGAGGATTATAAATCCTTTGTTTAAAACTTTTTCTGATTTCTCATTGAAGTTCAAAAACCCTTATTATCTCCAAGGTCTTGTGTGATCTAGTGTCTTCCTATACCTAAATTCATTATAAGCCTTTTTCCCCTAAGCTATTTTCCCTATTGACCTGAGGTATACTCTTAGTGCCTAGAATGATTTTATTCACCCTACCTCAGCACCGTTGGGGCTTTTTCTTGCCATGACTGTGGATACCCTGTCGCTTCTTAACTATTTAACTTAGTTTAGTTTTAGGTAAGTTTCTTCAGAGAAGTTTTTCCTGTTTTTGCCAACTCCTCCCACCCCATCTCAAACAAAATTAAAACAACAGATTTAGAAACCTCTCATTTGGATGTTCTTTATTATTGCCTTCGAATTCTTTCATTTTTATTTGAGTGAAAAAATCTCTTGTCATTTGGTTGAAGCCTATGCTCAGCTAGGTGTGGGAGCTGAAAGATAAGGACTTAGAATTTTTTTATATGAGTATACTGATTTAGTATCATTTGTACCTTTCCCTCTCTCAACACACTCTCTGGGATTTATGACCCCTTGTATAATTATTGTTACGTATATATAACCAATTGAGTCCATTTAATGTTGCTTGTATGTACATGGGTTTAGGGTTGACCACTTGGGATTAGGTAACCTGTAGGACTTACTCTTGAACATTCTACCTTCTTTTGGGAAGACAGAGGCTGTGCTAGTTTTTTGGTTTTGCCCCATTTCTCTACCAGTGTAAATTTTGTGCTTTATATGGATATTTGGTTTTTGTTTATTTTTTAGATCTTGTTCCCCTTTATTACCCATTAAGAGCAGTGTTCTAAGATGGAATAAGGAAGTCTGAGGTTGTTGTACATTCTTGTAATCCTGGTACTTGGGAGTCTTAGGCAGAAGCATGGCAAACTCAAAGCCAGCCTGAGGTGCAGAGAAAACTTCCTGAAACCCCACTTAAAATGAATAAATAAGAGGTATGTTAAGAGGGTGAAGCCCCTTCTGTCTCTAGCCAGCTATTCCAGCCTTTCCCAAAGGTTCAGGTTACTTATTTCTTTTCTTGCTAAGAGTTGAGCTCAGAGCCTTTGCACTCCAAATTGAATATTAATAGTTCCAAACTGATGGTTGGTGATTATGTGCAACATACAGTCAACAAAAGGTTACTACCGAAAACCAGGTTAGGGAGCCATGGAGAGCACAAAGGTCATTGGAGACTCCATTTATGTGTCACCCTCCCTTAGAGGGTTGGGTGGAGACAGTATTTCTCTAGAAATTTCTCTAGATACCCAAGGCTGGTCTTGGACTTGAGATTTTTCTGCCTTAGTCAGATGGCAGGTAAGGGACCAATCCTAATAGACTCCAATGAAGTAACCAATTACCAAACTCCTATACTAGTTACCAGAGGTCGTTGGACTTCAGAATATAATATTGCAAGTAAGAAGCATCCTAGAATGTGGGAGAGAACTGGACCTTATGTTTTAGCTTTAGTGGGCCTAAACTACTTCCCTCAATTTAGAAGAGACCTGGAGAAATTTCCTTTCATTAAACTAACATCAGTATCCTTCCTCAAAACTCAAGGCACTGGATACAACCCTCACTTCAACTGTCTTACCTTGGCAGTACACCCAGCAGGTTCACCAGAACAGACATGGACATGTGGTTCAGTTCCCATGGCAACTGAGTGTGGTGAGATGAGAGCAGCTCCAGGAAAGGCAGGGTGTAATTGATGTGGGAATCATTGATTAGGCATAGCTCTAACTTCAGGGTCGCAAGAGTGCCTGCCACCTTCTCTAGGAGAGCTTGAAGGGTCTGAAGACTAAAGTCTTTCATGTCAATGTTGCTCAGAGTCAGGTGCTTCAGCTGACCTATGTAGGGATAGTTAGAAAGATGCTTCAAGTCTGAGTCCATAGATGAGCTGGACCTCAAGCAGAAGATCTCCAAGGGAGTGTGACTCCTGAGGATCTTGTGTAGTTGTCCTTTAAGGAAGAAGATGTCATCTATATAAATCTGCATATTGTCCAGCTTTTGTAAATAAGCAGCATATATAGGGGAATACCACTCATTTTGCAATACAGAAGTATATGTATGTAGACTCACATGCTCAAAGGAAAACTTTTTTTTTTAGTATTTTGTTCTATTTATTTTTTGAGACAGGGTCTCCTTGTAGCCCCAGCTGTCCTGGAACTCACCATGTAGACTAGGCTGGCCTCATTATGTGTATGTGAGTGCCTGCATGTATGTGAGTGCACCTGTGTCATGCAATGCCGCAGAGGTCAGAAGAGGGCTTCAGATTCCCCTGGAACTGGAGTTAAGGACAGTTTGTAGCTGCCATGTGGGTGCTGGGAATTGAACCCAGGTCTTCTGCAAGAGCAGTCAGTGCTCTTAACCACTGAGCCATCTCTCCAGCCCCTCAGAGGAAAACTTTTTAAGGTTTTTCATCCTGCCCAGGTAAGGAACAAATATTTTCATGGTCTCTTGATGCCAAAAACTATCCACCTCCAGCTTCTTGATGCTGTCCAGGTACATAACACTTAGAAACTTCTATATTTGGTACATGGAATCTGACACAATTCCGCACAGCTGGATGACCTGTTTTCTCATCTTCACCCAGTACAAGAGGTAGCCTTGGAAATCATTACAAGTTCCAGGTTTGCGGGTAGTACAAAGGTCTTCAAATAATATCTTCAAGGGCCTTGTTCCTATCCCAGAAGCAGGGCTGCCTGTTGCAGGTCAACTAGGGAGCTCTAAGCAGGCCAAGGCTGTGAGACCACACCTCATCTTTCTGACGTTCTCATCCTGGTTCTGCAAATTGAGCACTTGCAGTTTCCACTCTCTGGGGCGATCCTTCATGGCAAGCTGCATATGGATATTTGCAAAAGTTACATGCTTTAATTCACCTAATTTGTCTGTTATAAAAGATTATGGTTTTCATCTTATCCAATGGTAATAGCCTGTATATTTATTTAAGGGGTTTTGATAATTTTTGTAACATTTTTTATGACCTCTTTACTAGTTACTTTTCTGTTGCTGTGATAAAACACCATGATCAAGGCAGCTTATAGAAGGAAGAGTTTATTTGGGCTTAGGTTCCAGAGAGATAAGAGTCCATCATGGCAGGGAGGCTTTCTGAGCACTCCCATCTTCCAAGCAGGCACAGGAATCAGAGAGATTTAGAAATGGGACAAGGTTATGAACTCTCAAAGCCCACCCCCAGAGGCGCACTTCCCTTCAACAAGGCTACATTTCCTAACCTTCCACAAACAGTACCACCAACTGGAGCCAGGTATTCAAATACTTGGAGTTTGTGGGGGACATTTATCATTCAAACCACCACAGCCTGCAAATGGAATTTGTAAATCATGTAACCACATTTATATGAGATATCCTGAAGGATGTTTTTGTCATTGTTGTTTTTGTGAAAGATGTTTTAATATGTGATACCTTTGAACTCGTGTTGACCACTGAAGGATTTTCATAAGTTAATTTCTATCAGAAGCCTTGTGTAGCCTGGATTGGACACAGCCTGTAATTCTAGCTATTCAGGAGGCTTACGCAAGAAGATTGAAAATTCAAGGCAAGTCTAGCCAACAATCTGGCTTGCTTTTTGTTATGATAAATGTGGTTGGGCAGCTTCGATAATCAGGAAAGTTACGGGAATAGATTCTGCTAATCAACTATAATAGTAACGAAGTAGAGGATTAATAATAACACATTAATACAATTTCTAAAGGGCTATATTTTAGGACAGCATGGGACAGATTAAGAATGAGTAATGGGGGGCTGGAGAGATGGCTCAGCCGTTAAGAGCACTGACTGCTCTTGCAGAGGACCTGGGTTCAATTCCCAGCACCCACATGGTGGCTACAACCCATCCTTACCACCAGCTCCAGGGGAATCCAAAGCCCTCTTCTGACCTCCGTGGCATTGCACAACATGGGTGTACTCACATACATACATGCAGGCAATACATTCATGCACATAAAAATAATAAATAAAAAAAAAAGTAATGGGGGTTGGGAAGATGAGTAATGGGGGTTTGTCAGTGACAAAGTGGTGGCTATGCAAGCATGAGGATTGGAGTTTGGATCCCCAGAACCTACTGAAAGCCAGGTAGGTGTGCTGGATGCCTGTATCTCAGCCCTCTGGAGGTGGAGATGGGATATTCTGGACAAGCTTGCAGGTACAGCCATTCTTTGGGAGCTCTGGGTTCAGTCAGAGACCCTGCCTTCATAAATAATAAAAAGTGGAGAACAACCGCGGAAGATACCCAGTGTTAACTTTGGGCCTCCACATGCATATGCCCATAGACATGGAGTTGCACACATGTGCTTGTCCGTGCACATGCATCCCACACATAAACCAAAAGAAAAAAGTGAGTATGGAAAGCCAAACATGGTGGTGCGTACCTGCAATCCCAGCACTTAGGTGAGATAAGGGGATCACTGCAAGGCCAAAGCCAAGCTAGTCTGGGCTATGTAGTAAGTTCCATGCCAGCCTTGGCTACAGTGTAAGACTCTGAAAGAAAAAAAGCAAGAGAAAAAGTAATGGACTGGGGATAAAATAGCTCAATAAGTTTTGTTTGTTTTTTAAATTAAAAAAGATGCAGTTGCAGAGTCAAGGGGCTATACTTAGTGATGGTCTTATTGTTGGTAGAGTCTCCAGATAGTGCATGGCATCATCTTGCAAGAGGCAAGGAATGCTTTTGTGTGTCTATGAGTTTTGTCTTGTTTGTTAGTCATCTGGTCTTCCTCTTCTTCAAGATATAGTCCTGGCTTACTCTTAATAACATTGTCTAAACCTACTCCTTTTTTAGAGGCCCCCCATCTCTATACACTATAGTTGTATTGTTTCCATCCGTGTAATCTCTCATAATAGTTAATACACTTCAATACTTGTTCCTTGGAAGACACACCATATCTGAAATGTAAGTGTAGGATTAGAACAGAGATTTAAAATGAGGACCTGATTATGGGAACAGGAATACTTCAAAATGAAATTTTCTCTGAAAGATTTCTAAGTTTCAAAGATGTGTACTTACTATAGCAAGGCCTGATGCTCACCAAATATGACTGCATGTTTATCTGACCTGTGAATACTTCTGCCTCCCAAGTGTTGGGATAGCAAGCATATGCTATCCGTCATACCCAAATATTTTTATAGATTTATTTATTATTTGCCATACTGGGGTTCAAAGTCAGGACCTCATGCATGTTAGGAAAGAGTTCTACCACTGAGCTATAGGCTCAGCTCTATAGAACGTTTTTCAAGTATGATGTAATTTTTTGCTGAGGATACAACTCAATGATAGAACACTTGCCTAGCATGCACAAGGCCAATTTGATTCCCAGCAGTGAGCGCACGCGCGCGCGCGCGCGCACACACACACACACACACACACACGTATGATATAATTTAACAATCTGTATTAAAATTATTAGTGTGCGTATACATGTGTTCCCATGCCAAGACACATGTGTAGAGGTCAGAGGACAACTTTGTGGAGACTGTTCTCTCATTTCACCTTTATTTGGGTTCTGGGGCTCCAACTCGGGTTGTCAGGCTTGCATGGAAAGTGCCTTGCCCTCCCCAAATCTATAATTTTGTATGTCATGTCTTTGTGGTATTTTAAAAATTTCAGTATTAAAAAAAATTGTATACACAAATGTGTACCTGCATGTGCACACGTGGAGGTCAGAGGATAATTTGTGGGAGTCAGGTCTCTTTCCATCATCTGGATTCCAGGGATCAAATAGGCTGTCAGGCTTATACAGCAAATTCCCTTACCCACTGAGCCAGCTCACCAGCCTGTCATATTTTTCATGCTATTTATTTTTATTTTGTTTTTCTTTTCAAGGAATGGACTTACCCTATGAGACGAGAGATGCAGGTATGGCAACCTTTTATTTATTCAAACCAATGTATATTATTATTAAATAACTTAAGCTTACATCACAAAGAGTCAGAGACCTGCTGGCCCATGAGCTGTAAGTTTATCATATTTACCTAGGTTTGAATATTACACAGTGTATATATGCATTTGTATTAGTCACTTTTCTGTTGCTGTGACAAAACACCATTGCCAAGGCAACTTCCAGAATAGTTTATTTGGGCTTAGATTCCAGAGGGATAGGAGTTGCTTATGGCAGGAGGCAGCTGGAGTAGAAAGCAGAGAGCTCACATCTTTAAGCAGAGACAGGAAGCAGAGGGAGAAACTGGAAGTGGGACAAGGCTGTGAACTCTGAAAGCCTTCCCCTGTGATGTGCTTCCTCTATTTAGTCCACACCTCCTGCAGGTTCCATGACCTTTCACAAACAGTGCCACTAAGTCTTCAAATATTTGAGCCTGTGGGAGGACACTTCTCTTTTAAATCACCACAACATTGGGAGATCACATAGTAAATATGTACAATATTATATCAATTGAATTTTTTTTTTTTTTTTTGGTTTTTTTGAGACAGGGTCTCCCTGTAGCCCCAGCTGTCCTGGAACTATGTAGACCAGGCTGGCCTTGAACTCATAGAGATCCACCTGCCTCTGCCTCCTGAGTGCTGGGATTAAAGGCGTGCACCACCACGCCTGGCTGAATTTTTTAATATGAGAAATAAGTCCTTTATTTCCTTTGGGTTAGATTTAATGAGTCACTATTTTTCCTCATTTAAAATAAGAAATGCTATGTTTATTTTCCTTCCAAAGCAGCTTGCTTTCCTATCTAATTTGTACAAGTTCAGGAGAGTTGAATAAAGGCTTTTAGATAGTTGTTCTTTCCAGTTGACATCCATAACTATTTGTCTAGTATTCAGTGAGTTGACTACTTGCTGTTTAGAATGAATTCAGTTCCTCTTTTTGCATTTCTTATCATTTACAGTCATTGATATTAGTCCTAAGAACAAACAATATCTCTCATTACCTTCAGTGCTGGGGAGATGGCTCAGCAGTTAAGAGCACTGGCTACTCTTGCAAAGGACCCAGATTTGATTCCCAGCGCTCACATGGTAGCTAACAACCATTCATAACTTTAGTTCCAGGGGAATTCAGTGCTGTCTTCAGACCTCCGTGGGCATTGCATGACACAGGTGCACTTACATACATGCAGGCAATACACTCCCTTACCTCCCCAAAACCTGCTACCTTTCTCTTAATGAAAACTCTGTAGGCAACTCCTGAGAACCCTCATGTGTGTTCACAAGTGTCTTGACTTTCTGAGTGCCCCTTTCTCATAACCCTCATGTTTTATTAAATCCCAACTTTGCTTCATAAAAATGAGAGGATAGCTGGGCATGGTGGCGCACACCTGTAGTCCCAGCACTTGGGAGGCAGAGGCAGGTGGATCTCTGAGAGTTCAAGGCCAGCCTGGTCTACATAGTTCCAGGACAGCTGGGGCTACAGGGAGACCCTGCCTCAAAAAGACAAAAAAATAAATAAGAGAGGAGCTTTCTTTTTCTTGGGCAATGCGTGTGCTCACTCAGCGTGTGCTCGCAGCCATGCGGTCCAAGGGTCCGCTGCAGTCCATGCAGGTCTTCAGATGCAAGACAGCCACAGCTGTGGCACAGTGTAAATGGGGAAACAGCCTCATCAGGGTGAACAGGCGTCCCCTGGAGATGAGCGATGGAGATGATCAAGCCATACACACTGTACAAGTTATTAGGGCCAGTTCTACTTCTGGGCAAGGAGTGGTTTACTGGCGTGAACATTAGGGTCCATGTGAAGGGTGGTGGTCACGTGGCCCAGATTTATGCTATTTGACAGTCCCTCTTCCAAAGCTCTGGTGGCCTACTACCAGAAATATGTGGATTAGGCTTCAAAGGAGGAGATCAAAGACATTCTTATCCAATATGATGAGACCCTGCTGGTATCTGATTCCTATCGCTGAGTCCCAAGAGGTTGGAGGTCCTGGTGCCTGTGCTCACTACCAGAAATCCTACTGATAAGCCCATTCTAAGAGAAGAAAGCTCTTTTAAGTATTCATGAATACATGAGACAATTTTCTTGGTTGGGGAATGCAAGCATAAGTAAAATGTAATTTCTACTTATAAGAAGTAGTTTTGCTTCCATTTACAATAGATAGCAGTTGTGATCCTATTATATCTTATGCTACTTTGTTATTTGGGCTGGGGTTGGGTTTTGAGACAGGGTCTGACTGTGTAGTTGATGCTAACTTTAGAATTTATTGTGTAGCCCAGTCTGGCTCAGAGTCATGATCCTCCTATGTCAGCCTCCTGGGTGCTTGTTCCACTACACCTGGCCCTTTTGCTGCTTTTGTTTTGGCCAAATAAAGTTTTGTGTGATTCCCAAGGGAGGATTTTCTTCATGCCTTATTTTTAGACTATAGCTGAGAATTGAAGTTAGAAGTCTTACTAATCTAAAAGTCAATAATACAATGTACTGATTCTATCCAAATTACTTATAAAAAGTCATGTGGAAGTTCAAATATCTGACTTTTTAGAATAATCTTTAAATTTGAAATCTCACTTGATTTTACAAAGGTAGACCTACATTTTTCATTCTAGTCTTTGGTAAATGTTCCTAGGAAATGCTCCCTAAATAATAAAGTTTTAAGTAAATTATTAGAAAAGCTATTAGCACCCTCCCATTGATACCCTTGTCTCCCCATTACACAGACAAATCCAGGTATATGGTCTATATTTGGTATAGGTTTAAATTTTACATTTTTTTTTCCCTAGGAAATTTTACCTGGATTGTTCTTAGGCCCATATTCTTCTGCTATGAAAAGCAAGGTATGAACTTTAGATTAGGTTCTCCAAGAGACCTTAGTAATCAACTTTGATTTGGTAAGTTTTTTAATAGAGCTTTATTTTAGGGAACATGTACATGCATTTGTGTTCATAGTAATTGTACCTACTACTTCCAGTTTACTAGACCGGTAGTTTTCGGGTATTTCATCACCAATTACAAGTGAATTTTTATAATTTGTTTTTCTCATGAAATCTATGTGTTTGAAAGGTTTGCAAATCAGCATGACCTTTAGTAAGTTATTAACTCTTTATTTTTTTTAATTTTATGTTACAAGTGTATTACCTGCATGTATGTAAGTGCACCTATGTCATGCAGCCCATGGAGGACAGAGAGAGCAATGGATCCCCTAGAACTGGAGTTATAGATGGTTGTTAGTTGCCATGTGGGTGCTAGGAATCAAACTTGGGTCCTCTGCAAGAGCAACCAGTGCTGTTAACTGATGGGCCACCTCTCCAGTCCCATTAACTATCTTAAAATATTAGATATATATATAACTGCCAGACATCTTCTAAATAATATTAGATATAAAGCACCAGAGGAGGAATTTTAACATTTTAGTTAACCTTTCTTCGTCCAAAATAAGAATATGTCTTGTAGTGACTCTTCTCGTTCTTGGTTTCTAGACTTAGGAAGTCTGAGAACTCTAGTTTGGAAAGCACTGTACTACTTTGATATTATAGACTATAAATAAACTTCTTCAGTTACTCAGTTAAAATAGGAAAGTCTCATTTTAATCTAGTTCTTGCCACTTCCTGGGGGGACTCGGCTCTATGAATTATGAGAATTAGATTAATTCTTTCTGAGTTACAATATGAAAGATTGTATAAAAAATGTTTTCCTCAATATCTCTCTGACTCAGCAGTCAGCACACCTGTGTTTGATATTTCCATGATGTAATTTGTGGTTGGAATTTTAATTGATTGAGAATTTTTAAGAGTCATCTTCAAATTGGAAGGTTTTATGGTAGTTGAGGCATGACTAAAGTGATCCTTTTGATGACAACACCTAAGTTGGAAGAATATGGGTTAGTTTAAAAACTAAGTGATAAGCAAATGATACAGCTCATAAAATAAAAACCACTGTGACTTACTTTATAAAAGACAAATGGCAACAAAGTTTTTAACCAAATAATTAGTTTTCTCTTTTCTATTGTTTTTTTTATTAGCCTATGTTAATTATAATAATGGGCTTCACTAAGACATTTTCATACATGTATATATTTTGGTTATAGTCAAACATGCACCTGTTACCCACTTTTGTCCCCTTTTCTTCCTCTTCCCAACTAGCTCCTCTTTTTTTCTTTTCTTTAGTCTTTTTGAGACAGGGTCTCCCTATAGCCCCAGCTGTCCTGGAACTCACTATGTAGACCAGGCTGGCCTTGAACTCACAGAGATCCGCCTGCCTCTGTGCTGGGACTAAAGGCATGCTCCACCACGCCCGGCTAGCTCCTCTTTTATATTCATATTTTAGTGTGTATATTTGTATTTCTCACTCTGAGTTACTGTGCTTTAGCTCAAATTTCTATTTGTACCATGTTCCAAAAAAATGACCTTTCAAAAATTAAGTAATATTGGGGAATAAAGAAACCTAAATGAAGAAACTTCTTTAAAATTTTTAAAAATTTTAATTTTGTTTTTTATGTGTATGAGTGTTTTGCCTGCAAGTATGTAAGTGGGCCCATGTTGTGCAATGCCCATAGAGGCCAGAAAAAAGCGTTGGATCCCCTAGAACTGGAGTTGTGAATGTTAACCACCATGTGGGTGCTGGGAACCCAACCTGGGTCCTCTCTGCAAGAGCAGCCAGTGCTCTTAACCACTGTGCCATCTCTCAAGCCCATAAACTTCTTTTAAAAAATTTATTTACGTAGGCATATCTCTTACTACATTCAAATATCATTTTTTAAATTTAACTTTTAAATTTTTATTTTATGTGTATGTGTGTATTGCCTGCATGTATGTAAGTGCACCCGTGTCATGCAATATCTGCGGAGGTCAGAAGAGGGCATTGGATCCCCTGGAACTGGAGTTAGGGACAGTTGTTAGCTGCCATGTGGTGCTGGGATTCGAATCTGGGTCTTCTGCAAGAACAGCCAGTGTTCTTAACTGCTGAGCCATCTCTCCAGCTGTGTCAACTATCATTTAAATAAAAGAGAGATTTAGGCTCTTAGTGGAAGGTTTGCTTTACTCTAATGTGCCTTCAAAGTTTATAAAACATATTTTTATGTCCTCCTAAAGTTTTTCATATTACTAGACTAAAATACGTATAAAAACTCCATCTTGACTGGGTGTGGTGGTGCATGCCTTTAATCCCAGCACTCCAGAGGGAGAGGCAGGCAGATCTCTGTGAGTTCAAGGCCAGCCTGGTCTACAAAGTGAGTTCCAGGACAGCTGGGGCTACAGAGAGACCTTGTCTCAAAAAGACAAAAAAAGGGCCAGGCGTGGTGGCGCACGCCTTTAATCCCAGGATTAGGGAGGCAGGTGGATCTCTGAGTTCAAGGCCAGCCTGGTGTACATAGTGAGTTCCAGGACAGCTGGGGCTACAGGGGGACCCTGTCTCAAAAAGACCCCCCCCCAAAAAAAATCTTGATCATCAAGTGTAAATGAAAGAATGAGTGTTGAATTAATTTTGGAGGTTGGCATAAATGTGAATATTGGACATTGGCTCATTAATCCTAGCAAACACTCCCCATATTCAAGGATATACTCAGAAAACACAAAGATAATTGAACTTTGATCTATACTGACAATAAAATTTGCCGTCAAACTTTGGAAAATCATATTGTCTTGATCAGTTTGAACACTTTTGATAAAAACCATAGCCTGGATGACTTCAGAAGACATTTTCCCCTCCACAATTGTGGAGACTGGGACATCTTGAGATTGGGATGCCAACATAATACAGTTCTGATCATAGGAGTCCTCTTGGCTGGCAGATTGTCTACTTGGTGTATATTCACATGGCAGACAAAGTAAGCAAATTCTTTCCTTACAAAGGTCAAATGCTTCATGGAATTTCTAGTTCATGATTTTATATAAACCAAATTACTTCCCAAAGGCCCTACTTTTTTTTTTTTTTGGTCTTTTTTGAGACAGGGTTTCCCTGTAGCCCCAGCTGACCTGGGAACCATAGTGGAACTCACTATGTTGACCAGGCTGGCCTTGAACTCACAGAGATCTGACTGCCTCTGCCTCCTAAGTGCTAGAACTACAGTCATGCACCGCCACACCTGGCTTAGGCCCTACTTCTTAATATCTCATACACTATTTATATAAATTTTTCTACATGGATTGGGAATATAACTCACTGGTAGAGCACTTGCCTAACATATGCAAGATCCTGGATTCAGTTCTAGCATCCCAAAAATAAATAAGAGATTCTTTGACCTCACTCATAAAATATTAGTACTATATTCTAGACTATTTAATGCAGGAAGTGGGAATTAAGTATATAGAATTTTAAGTTGGAATTACCATAAAAAATTCAAATTTATTCAGTTTTTTTTTGTAAAAGGATTTATTTATTTATAATTCTCTGTGGAGGCCAGAGGACATCAGATCCCCTGTAACTGGAGTTAGAGGCAGTTGTGAGCTACCTAGTGTGGGTGCTGGGAACTGAACCCAAGTCCTGTAAGCAGTAAGTGTTCTTAACTGCTGGACCCTTATTCTCATTTTTTATGTCAGCATGATTTGTTTATTGAAAAATAATTCCTGAATTTGCCTATATTACCCATTCTTTACTTCATTATATAATTATCATAATCACTCAACTAAGAGTTGCATTTTCCCTGTTCTAACATGACAGCCACATTATTCAGGTTATTATCAGAGCTGGAATTTCTAGGTTAGATTCCCATAACTCTAAACTCTATGCTTTTAGCCACTATTACTAATAGTACTGGTTTCTTGAGTGGAGAGATGGCTCAGCAGATAAAAAGCACTGGCTTCTCTTGTAGAAGACCTGGGTTGGTACCCAGCACCCACATAGTGGCTAACAGTTATCTGTAACTACAATTCCAAGGGATCTAACATCCTCTTCTGGCCTCTGGGCATTGCATACATGGGTTCATTTATATACATGCTGGCACTCATACACATAAAATAAAAATAAATAGAAAATAGTACTGGTTTCTAGGCAGGTTGTCTTTACGTTCTCATCAAATCCTAGAATTACTATTAAAAAAAAAAATCCGTGTTTCCTTTTAAAGAGCATCCCCCCCTTAAAGAACATTTTGTGTATTAATCTTGAGCCATTGAACTGACTATTGATCACATCAGGTTAGTTATCATAAAATTACCTTTAATCCTCTTTACTAAGGCTCAGACATGAGTCTTTTGTATTTTCAAACTTGCATGTTATGGTAAGATGATGTTTTCTATTTAAATTGTTTTTCTCCATTTTTTACAGCTACCTATATTACAGAAACATGGAATAACTCATATAATTTGCATACGGCAAAATATTGAAGCAAACTTTATTAAACCAAACTTTCAACAATTATTTAGGTAAGAATTAGTGCTGTGACTTACAGAAAAACATTTAGGACAAAGCATGTAGTGTTGTTTTTGTTATCATTGTTTTTCTTAGAGCTTAGGACTAAACCCAGGGCCTCAAGCATGCTAGGGAAGCATCTTACCATTGAGCTGGTTTGTTTTTTTTTTTAGTATCTTATTTATTATTTTTATTTTATGTGTACAAGTGTATTGCCTGCATGTATGTGAGTGCACCCATGTCATGCAAGGCTGTGGAGGTCAAAAGAGGGCTTCAGATTCCCCTGGAACTGGAGTTAAGGACGGTTCGTACCTGCCATGTGGATGCTGGGAACCAAACCCAGGTCCTCTGCAAGAGCAGTCAGTGCTCTTAACCACTGAGCCATCTCTCCAGCCACCCATTGAGCTGTTTTTATTTCAGGTTTATTTTTTACAGTCTAACTTTCCTCTATAGGTATTTTGTTAACTGTTAGCTCTATAGTATACATTTTAATTTATTTAAAATATTTAAATAATGCTTTAGTACTAGAGGCTCAAAAGAATATATAGAAAAAAAACAAGTCTCTTTACTTAGATCTCCTAGATACTCACTTCACTTGCTTAGGGGCATCTACTGTTATCTTTCCATTGAATATCCATTCAGAGTTTTATGTTACATTCAGAAGCATGCAAACATATTCTTACTAATAAACTTCTGGTTTTTAAATTTATTTAATTTTATGTGCATGTTATACCTACGTGTTTGTAAGTGCACCTGTGTTGTGCAGTGACCATGGAGACCAGAAGAGGGCGTCAGACTCCTGGAACTGAAGTTACAGATGGTTGTTAGCTGCTATGTGGATGCTGGGATTCGAACCCAGTTCCTCTGGAAGAGCAGCCAGTGCTCTTAACCACTGAGCCATATTTCCAGGCCCAGCTTCTGGTTTTTATATTGGATTTTTTGACATACATGCACGCAATGCACTCCTACACAAAAAAGTAATAAAATATTCTTAAAAAACAAAATAAAAATAACTAATAATAAATATATTACATATGATATAATTGCAAGGGTGAGTAAGTCACCACATTTCTCTTGGGAGACAGCTATTGTCAATGTTTTCTTAAATGTCTTTGTAGACTTACTTTATATGAAGCATTTATTAAAAAGGTTTTAGGCCCAGAAAATGAAATTTCTTTTTAATAAGTTCCCAAGTTTTAAAGTGTCTTGACACTGTAATAAAATATAAACTTTATATTATACTCACTTTGAGTTGGCACATTAACAATATTTTACAAATAATACCTGATTTAAATTTGAAAAAAAATTAATACTTTCTGATTTATAAAAGTGAGTGCAATAAATGTATATAAGACACAAAAATGTGCAAACATTTAATAGACTATTATGTAACTGGACAGAAATGAAATATCTTTGTTGATTTGACACAGTCTCAGTGATTAATTACATATATGAAGCAGGGTGAAGAGGGAGGTGGAGAGTCCCAGTGTTCAAATACATATACATTAAGTTTATATATTCTTATATATACATCAAAAGTTCCTGGATCAACAGATTCAGAATTTTGTAGTAGTTCTGAGAAGGAAATGTCAGGGTCTGGGATTGTAAGTGATCTATTTTTTCATCGTATATAACTTTTACACTGTTACGATTGATTTTGTTTTGGTTTTGTTGTTTTGTTTTTATATTTTATTTACTTTATGTCTATGAGTGTGTTGCTTGCATGTATGTACGTGCACCTGTGTTGTACAGTGCCCGTGGAGCTCAGAAGAAGGTATTCGAGCCCCTAGAATTGGAGTTAAGGACAGTTAGCTACCATGTGGGTCCTGGGAATCGAACCTGGGTCCTCTGCAAGAGCAGTCAGTGCTC